CCCTTTACATATCGCAAATATCATGCAAACATTACTGAAACTTGTGTACAACTGTGTTGCTGAAGAAACCCAAAATTGTTTCTTCATAACACTAATGTACCAAAAAGCTGTTGGTGAATAATACTAATAATATCTGGACTGGAGTGACCAGACCGGAATTCTGACGCTAATAGCATAGCAAGTTTAATGTAATAGCTGTGTACTATTAAGGAATCCTTCTTCGGAATATTTATTGGGATATCTCCGTTCACCAGGCTAAATAAAACCTTATTATTTCCTTCCGCATACTGTCTTCGCTGCTTATTGTTAACTGTATACACACACTCTTCAGTGTCATTTTCAAAAACACATTTAAAAAAAATTATTGTGCTACTTTCTACATGGGAGCTTTGAAGTGTCTGATACTACACCAAACTCACATAAGCTATTCTGGTTTGTGAAGAGATAAACCTATTCATTCTTCTCAAATCACATTTCGGCCCTCCACTAATTCGATTATTAACCCTGACTGCTTTTCTGTGATGGTATGTGTGTTAATTGCTCGCCCTATTCATCACGTGTCTGTAGTCTGCTTTTGGTCCGACTATAAATATCAAATCACTAAGATATTATACGAACTAGGAATCCTTGAAACAATGCAATTTCAGCTAACCAGAACTAGTCAAGCATAAACGAGCGTATTGGCTGCAGTTAAACTCAACACGATTTCATAATCGTGACAGTCTACTTAGCGACCAATCAGAGTGAAACAGAAATTATTAGATCCACCATCTTTGTAAGCAATGAAGGTCGGCTTCCTTCACTCTGTGTTTTTATCCAGCTGTTTCTTTTTTGTGTAGCCGAATAATTTAGCGTTTCAGTGTGATAAAATTCCGCATTTAATGTAATACTCTTAATGTTGGCGCAAATTTTCTCTATATCAGTTTCGTTTTCTTAGTTTTTGCTGCTGCTACTCAAGCCATTCTATTCCTTCAGGCAGTCCGCTCTGTTTTGAGTATTATTTTGCAGATATTGAAAATCAAATTTATTTGTTTGTTAAAATAAGTGATGCTGTCGTCTGGAACTTTAACTGTCTTCATGTTATTTCCTACAGAAACAGTTATAACTGTTATTTATGATGATGTTATCGGGAGCAATGAAAGAAAGCGATCTTCTGTTTGTTATTTACTTCATAATCGTGGACAACCCAACCCATCAATGATCCAAACTAATAATGAGTGCCCAGTTGTGTTAAATATCAGTAATGTTTTCGAAAAGATTATGAGGCCAAAATATCTGACAACCGTGGACCTAGTCAGAGATGCTTTTGATCTATTGCAAAAGCTTTGTTATTACAAATTTGCCATATAACAGTAATAGATGAGTTGGACTCATCACGCCGTAAGTTAAAGCAAGCTTAACATTGAAAAGCCGGGAATCCGCTCTAAGATCCATTTTGAAGGTGAAAATCCCTCCATGTATACATTTGCAACTTCTTAATGGTTTCTTTATTTGTACATCTTGCTAATCTTTCTGATGCCAATTGAAACTGTAATGTTTTATTTCATAATGGTTTTCTCATTTTTTCCGTTGCTTTCACTGGGTTTCTATGTTTCTTCTTGAACTGTATCTATGTTGTTTTAATTGATTTTATTCTGGAGGCTGCCATATTGATTGTTCCCTCTTTGATTGTGCTGCCAGCTGGGATGGTGCATTTTTGGTTGTAAACTGGAGCACTTTCCCAGAATTTGAAATACTTAGTGTTATAAAGCAAACTCTTGATTGGATTTTTACTTGATCTATCCAGAAAGTATAGAATAACACTCATTTTTTGGATCGTTCGGTAATTCTCGTATATTTCTTATCAATTTGTCTATTTATTGTAATTTTGATTATTGTGGGAACAATTGTTGGTTGAATAACTGAGTGGTAATATTTGTTCCGGTAAAATTGTACATTTGTATATATGGTGAATTTTAGAACCGTTGTTACCCCAATCACCTCGATCTCATTTCGATAGTGTCGCTCATAAATACATTTATTCCACGGACAGTTGTTCTTCACCCAAACGTAGTTTGGATTTTATATCTGCTACCAGTATGTAGTGAATGTTTGCTGTTTTGGCCATAAAAGGAAGCTGGACTGACGTGGTCAGGGAGTAAAGTGTAATTATCTGTTATCGTGCTCACCTTTTTATAGATCAAAGCTTAACAGTTGCAAAGTCATGTTTCTTTTGAGATATGATATCAACCGGTACATAATAGCTCCAACTAAGGTGTTTCATAGCCACCCTTGCAATGAGAAACACTCGCAAATTTCCGCCTTCATATGCGAATTATTTTTGGGCAACTGCCTTCCAGTTTGAGAGCTTCGTACCTCTTAAGGAACGCAATTTATATAATATTCTTATTGCCAATATAACCTTTTCATACAGTTAGTTCGGTTATTCTTTCCAAACAGACATTAGGGTCTTCCTAAATGCACCTGTTAAGCAAATATCCGTGTTCTACATTTTAGGTAATCGATGAAGACAAGTCGCGTCATGTCCATCTGCTGTGTATTTCCATTTTACTACCATTTTCAACCATTGTGTCTTACTTTTGAAGAAGTCTGGCCCGTCGTTGCTGCCTTGACGTGGTTGTCAAGCTTGCTTATTGTAATAAATAAATCGAGCTATAATGGGTGAGACAGTCGTTCCTCAAGGTCCGATCATTCCAGGCAGGTCGACTGAAGGACAGTGAGACTAAAAGCAGCAACTGTAACCCAATTATTCTTTTAGGTACCTCCAGAAGAACCCTTCTACGGTGTGAGCAACTGTGAGGTGAAAACCACCCCTACACCTCTAACAGCACTCAAGATCACTGCATTCATAATCAATCTCATTCAATTCCTATTATTCCTCACACCTCGACTTTCAACACTAAACTCCCTCTTTCGGCTTCCTCCTCAAGTGTCAGCATAATCAACTATCTCCTAAAACCTCGCCCCCAACTACACATTGGGGCCTTCAAAGTACGCACTCCATGTCAAATCAGCCAGCGGGCTTTCTTGGCTAAAATCCTAGAATTTCGTACCATTGATGTGTGCTGTGTCTCCGAAACACGCATACAGGATCCCAGTATGGTCATTCACTTGACCTGACCTCTCCAAAACGGAGAGCCGATGGCTAGTTCTCGTGGACTGGTGGGTGTAGGAATAACCCTTAGTACGAGAGCAGAACAAGCACTATTAGAATAGATCCCTGTTGACGGTCGCCTATATGCTGTCAAGCTAAACGGCTCGGAAAGAACTAGTAAAGATAAGGACAAATGTCGTTACATTTTCGCCATTTCTGCCTACGCTCCCATTAACTGTAGCCATGATGAAGTGAAAGATTAATTCTACCGAAAGCTCTCCGAACTTCTTCAAAATGCTAAGCGCTCAGACATAGCACTCGTAGCTGGTGGCTTGAATGCCCGAATGGGTAGCTCCAACCAAACAGAAAGACATTTAGGTGGTCATTTAGGTATTCCGGCACAATGAACAGATAATGGTGATCGTCTTTTGCCACTGTGCCCAGACAATCGTTTATTTTTAGCAAACACTAATTTTAGGCATAAGGAGAGACATCGTCTAACATGGCGTCCAACTGCACCAAACGAACGATGGACTCGAATAGACCATATTACCATCAGTCATCGTTTAGGAGGCTCGATAGAAGACTGTCGCTTGTTCTAGAATACATGTTTGGACTTTAATCTTGCTCTAATACAAACATGCATTTACTTGCGCCTCATTGGACGCATTAAAGCTACACTAAGAAGACCCGTTAGAACTGAGCTCTGTGATGAGAAAACCAAGATTCCAGGAACAACATAGGTCACACTTAGGTAGTTTTAAAAACGAGTCTGACCCAGATGTTGCTTGGAAAGATATACGAACAGCAGTAACATCTATTAGTAATTCAGACCAGAGTTACAAATAACCAATAGATTTCCACTGTCTGTTGCAGTGAGAGATTCTCGTAAACTCATCAGGCATTTGCAGGGGCAGTGAAATATCACTGAGCCCTAGCCAAATTATCCGACAGTTGAGTCACTGAATATCGAATAGATCATCGATTGCTGTCAGTGTCAAGGATAATAAACGCTATGAACTAACCCATGCTGTTGTAGTCTCACTAACATTTCTGCTGCCATTCTTACTAATATATTTACGTAATCACGCCCCTTGTGTTATACAGTCTCCAAAGCAAGGATTCAAAAAGCTCATTTAGCTTTTGCTAACACACATCGCCTATGGCGAAGGTGAGATATCCACCTATCATTTACGGGGTGAGTATACTGTGCGGCAGTTCGCTGTGTTCTACTTTACGTTTGTGAGACGTGGCCATTAAGAGTAGAAGATACTCGTAAGTTACTAGCATTTGACCACAGATGCCTTAGAAATATTGCTCGCATCTTCTGGGATCACCGGGTAAGTGATAGTGAGGGTCGATAAAGAGTAATAGGAAATGACAGTAAATCAGTTGATGAGGTCATGAATCTTCATCGACTGAAATGGTTAGGCCACGTGTTACGTATGCCTGAACACCGATCACCACGACGCCCAGTGCCGACTACAGTTAGCGACGGTTGGAAGAGAGTTAGGGGCGGCAAAACCAAAGCGTGGTATCAGTCCTTGAAGTCACCAACCCTTTTGGTTTGAGTTATGTTTGTAGACACATACTACATGTTTGGGGTCCGCACGACTATGGTAATCAATGGTTGGAGACGCTGTGTGACATGACTCAGAATCGATCACAATGGCGTAGGTGTTCGCACTCTGTCTTCCCTTAAACCGTGAGATTAAAATTGATTGATATTTCTCTTTCTATCATCTAATTCTTTTTCCCGTGTTATATTCTTATACACAAACTTTCTTTCATATATTACTACTGGTGAAGTAACTTCTGCGAATTTGATGTTCATCTTGTTGTGCTAATGAGGTATGGCAGCTTGGACAGATGTATATATATAAAATTAAAATCTACTTTGGTGTTGTGACCATCATAACTAAGTATACTACTGAGCATGAGTAACAGACAATTTACATTCATGTACATATGATACGTAGGTTGCTGCAGTAACAGGTAGAAATCGCTTCTATTCGTGGACAGATTAGATTAAGAAACAGTATGATTCATAGCTAAAGAAATCTACCAAAACAAGTAGGTAGCATCATGTACGTTGATAAGAAAGTTCAGCAATAACATTCTGTTCATACACCTCGGTAGAATAAGATTTATGTGAAGATCATTTGGACCATTTAACCACTCTCCTTTCATATACAAACTGATTGGTTGGTTTCTTTGATCCTAAAGGTAATGTGGCCAAATAGAATGGTGTATCAGCACCTAAAACAGTAAAACAGATTTAATCCTCAGCAGTGCGATAAATTCTTTCTTGAGTCCTGTCGACCAAAAGCAACGACCAGAAATATACATATATATGGTTATACACTCACCTTCATCCGTTGTTTTTACTCCTTTATGGTCAGTCATATCAGTGTCAACAAAACCAGGACAACACTGTCAAAATGATGAAAATGAAAAGATGAATTAATGGAATCCAATAGAACAAAACTACTAAATGATATGTTGAAATTAAAACCATTCACCCACAAACAATCACAAACTCTCAAACCATCACTTGAACAATACCATTCACCAAATTAACTACTCTTAACCTTCAACAACCGAGACAATTATTTTCCCTAAGCACTGACTAAACTATTATAACAAATACAAACCAATTTCATGGTATCGTGAACGACCTTGATTAGTTCAATTGAATTCTGACTTCAACATTTCCAAGAGACATTAGTTTGTTAGACAATGGAGCAGTGTGACGAGTGACATTCTTAATATGGCTTCATATAGTATAGAATAATGTTTCAACAACCCCTGACTGCCATAGCAGTCAGAATGACATTCAAAGTTTGAGACCGATGACAAGAAGCACGGAATATTTACTGAACATCAACTACTGTAAACACTACTCACATTATTTCAACACAAATCACAATATCGACAAAACAAACTAACTGAATTTATCACAATTCCTCTTGGATCATCTTTCAGCATTTCACCGAAAATAAAAGATGCCTTTGTAAGACCCATTTTAGATACTCCATAAGCATTTGAAGGACAACCTTTTTCAGGATAAGTGCCATCCTCAGCAGATCTAATGTTATATTTGAAAAGAAAATAGTTGCTCAATAAATAAAGTAGAAAGCAAATACTATTTTAATAGTCACATCCATAGTGATGTTTCGAAATGGTGATACCAATAATTTGCAAGTGTAAATACATTTAAGAAGCAGAATACTGAAGATAGCTGCTTCTAGATACAGATCAGAAGCTACATACCCCGACTGCTGAAAACAGAAGTTTACACCTTTCAGTTTGTGCAGCTGTGATGTAGTTTAGAAATGCTCAGTTTTTGAGCTCTATATTACGGATCCGAATTAAGCCTCGGCCATTTCAGACTATTTAACCAAGTAGCATCACAAGAATGTGTAGTTTAAAGGGAAGCACATATACTTACATCTAACAGAAAAAATCTGTCATACACAAAGTAAGCGTATGCGACTGGTGGACAGCTGTACTTACCTACACTTTGCAATATTTTAGGAAAAGCACATACCTGGTCCTTATAGAGCTAAAATATAAAAGACAAGTTTTCTATCGATCTACATATATTAAGTAAGACTGGCTTTATTCGAACGATTTTCTTCCGAAAATATACTTGAGGCTTAGATAATTCGACATTTTACAACAATCAATCTCATAGCCCCAAAGCCCATCGCTTGAAATTCTGTGGTATTACGTAGTAAGTAAGAAAACATAGGATTAAATATATCCACCTTAGAAACCAGTTTTTTAGATGAGCCGAGTAGAATACTACACTAGTCGCCTACAGTAATCTATATTCAGCCTGAACGCTTAGGCAGCCAGCAGTTCGAATCACCTTACAGTTTATTCACAATATATCTTGTTGAATCTACTATCGATGTATATATTCCAGGATAACAACGACCATCTAACTTAGCGATATTGGTCATCCAAGAGGAGTACCTTACAACAGGTAGACCTTATTATATTTAACAGTATAATTTAATTCTATAAACTGATGCGTTAAGCACTGCTAAAAGTATATCTGGGATGTGGTAAGGACTTGAGAATGAAGGATCTACAATACAATTTGATTAGTTATGCAAAGTATGTTGATGAAGTACCAGCTTGACCATTATTCCAAGAAACTTGAGCAGACTGAAAACACCAGAAGTAATCTGGATATATCTGTGTTAACGTCTCAGACTGTGAGGCTAGGAAGCACGCGAGTGAATCCGCGAAGGAGCATCTCACTATAGTGAGATGATTTCTTGATGAATAACAACTGGGATATTGCATTCTTGTGAAACTTTCTTGTTTCTGAAGTATCTTAACAGGTAACCTAATTTACCATCGATGCACGGTATGAAGTGTGACTTCATTGTCAACCTAATACTCGCAGTAGTGACAAAACTGACACGGGCGACATGGAGTCTCAAATGAAGCTGATTGTGTTCCCGCTGTCTAAAACCACAGTAAACCTGCATTAATACCAAAAGCTTTCATGATGTGAAGTAGATGCTTGATAATTGACGCTTAGTTGTATGTGAGTGATTTTTGGCACAATTCAGACGCATGACATATATTTAAACGGATCTCAGATTTAATGTGACCTGAATATGCATAATCTGCCCAGAATTTAAGTTCTTCGGCGCGTGAACTGATAGGGAGAACACATTCGAAGATAAGTTCACAACTAGAAACCTCTAATGACTGTAGCTGTAAATAATTCCCCAAAATCAATAGCTCATTTAGTGTTCGACATTGGATGCTGACCGCGTTGTTTAAGTGGACTTGTTTGACTGAAGGCTTTCGGTCATGCATCCGTACCAGATCGTGTTACGACTCTGCGTGGGAAACAGCTCCTACGTTCACTAGCCAGCTTAGAGTAAACGATTCGCGATATATTAGTAACGTATCACACATATCTTTCCAATCTCTTCGCATCTGATTTCTGATTTTAACCGATTGGGGGACGTTTCGAACATAGGTGTTACTGGTTAATAGTTGTCAAACTAGAATACTGGTCGTATCTTCAACAGTGTCATAGGGCTATAGCTCTAACGACGAAACAGTTTGTAAGATCTGTGAAGGCTCACTCTTGTTGTATTCTAAATTTTAAAAATTGGTGGTTTTAGTAAGAAATGTGATATAGATAAGTAAACCACTTACTTGTTTTTAAGCAAAGAATTTAATCAGCTGTGATTTACCCCGACTTCATGAATATTAGTTGAAGAACAGGTCAGCTACTACAAATTGTGCAAAGCATAATATGTACCTGATACCGCATTGTGCAGCTTTTATTATTTTGCTCCCATTCAAGTATTATTTTTTTTATTTTTATTATTATTAATGGCTTTATTCAATATTATAATCTGGTACAATATAGAATTCTCAGCACGAGTTATTTCAACAAGTTTTTTTACCAAAAAAACAAAAAAACCCAGAACAAACAAACAAAAAAAAACAGAAAAGGAATGAAAAAGGTTTAAGAAAAACTGAGTTTATACAAATTGTCAAATTTGAAACATGCTTAAGAAGACAGGTTATTTACTAGGTCAACTCTAACAGCCTGTTCGTCATAAAGTAAATTTGCTAAGTAAGGTATTTCAGAACTTTTATAGACTTGCTTGCGTGTATGGATTTTAATGTATTTACGTCTCGTTCTACCAGAAGATATACAAGGAGAAAGATATGAATGAAGCGGATGGTTAGTATCTGATAAGATAACACCTGTCAAGAGTTTGCAAGACTTAAGATGTCTATCCACAAGCATATTAATAGTGACTTCAAAAGATTCACCACATACCTTGCAAACCGCCTTCAGCACTCTACGCAAAACAGAAAAGTCTTTTCTCAAAAGCCCAGGAAAGAATAATGGAGAACAATATAGAATAATAGGTAATATGCAGGAATTTACAAATTGTATGAGTAAATGGCGAGTAATCCCAAAAGCATGCAGCCTCTTTATGTAGTATGTCAAGCGGTAAACGTTTTCCGATAAGAGTAGAACATGAGAAGACCAAGAAAGATCAGAGGAAAAAATGACACCAAGATATTTGACCTTCCACACCGTGTTTATTAAGGAGTCTCCAATGGCACTAACATTATGGGATCCCAATATAGAGTGTAGGTTCTGTCCATGTCTCAAGCTAAAATTAACAGCATGACATTTAGATGGATTGAATAAGAGACCATTGCCAACAGACCACCTTTCAATACGAGATAAAAACTCATTCATTTCTATGGGATGTAAGGAGGTAGAAGTCGGCATACATACAGTGAGGTCGTCCGCATATTCTACAAAAGTGTTTTCTGTGGAAGATGGCAGACCATGCAGAAAAAAGAGAAGAGCAAAGGTGAAAGAACAGCTCCTTGTGGCACACCTACATTAGACAGTAGAGATGTTGAACACTTTCCTTCAAATACAGTGTACTGTTCTCTTCCAGAAAGGTAGGAACATAGCCAATTGGTTATTCAGCTGTTAGTGTCGACGCTGATCAGCTTGTTAAGTAAGAGGTGTCTTGGGATAGAATCGAAAGCAGAAGTAAAGTCCAGGAAAGCGCATCTAACATACTTTTTACCCTTTTCCAACCCGAACACTATAGTGTGATGCAGAACAGCAACGGCATCTAATGCGCTTCTTTTGCATTTGTAAGCAAACTGATATGGATCACAGTGCTCTTTTATTACAGGTTGAAGTGGTTGTATCAGTAATTTCTCCATTATTTTAAGGAAAGGTGAAGGTATTGCAATGGGTCTAAGTTTCACATTTTTATCACCAGAAGCTTTCTTTGGTATAGGGATTATCTTTATCTTTCTCCACATTTTCGGTAAGACATTAGTTGAGAAGGATCTGTTAAAGATATTCGTTAATGGATAACATAAAACATCAGCACATTTTTTAAAAGGAGGTTTGGGATACCATCAGGTCCTAAACAATGGGATGAATTAAGTGACTGGAGACATCTTCGGACATCATTTTCAGTGAAACTGGAAACACAATTATTCTTCAGACCCTTGGATATAGAGAGCATGATGTTAGATGACTGACGTATAAAGGACTTATTTAAGTCACAAGCATTCAGCTGGTTATCGCTTCTAGTCTTCCTGTTTCCTGTAATTTCTTTGAATAGTTTCCACATACTTGGAGAGCTTTTACAAGATAGGAGTTTTTGAGTAAACACAGAGATGAGACGTCTAATCTCTTGGTTTATTTGACCATTTAACTTACGAACTTCGGTAGTATTTTTCTCCTTGTATATCCTTTCTTTTACCCTCCGTAGTCGTTTTAGTTGTGGAGATGTAAGTCGATCAAAACTTAAAAAGAAGGTTTCGGTAGAACAGCAAATATCAAAACAGAACTTAAGATAACAGGTGATAACATCAGTTGTGTTTTCTATTGAATCATCTGTAAATAATTCCCAGTTGGTCGTACGAAACATGTTTTTTTTAGATTTTGTAACTTTTCTTCTGAGTAATTCCTGTATATTACTTTTTTGGTATGGTGTATGTGTGTACTCCTTCCATGTTTACCATGAGGATACGACTAGTATTCTAGTTTAACAACTAGCAACCAGTAGTATCTTCTATAATCGATCGTTCCCGGCCAAAGGAAATCAGAAGTCAAACGAGAAGAGGTAGGAAAGATATATTTGATGCGTTGCCAATACATCGAGAGGCGTTCGTTCTTAGCTGACTATGGAAACGTAGGAGCTGTGTCCCACGACGAGTTGCAACTTGATCTGGTACGGATGCATGACCGAAAACCTTCAGCTAAACAAGTCCACTTAAACAACGTGGTCAGCATCCAATGTCGAACACTTAATGAGCTATTGATTTTGGGGAATTATTTACAGCTACAGATCACTCCCCCCTAGTGGGGTGGTGATGCCCTTAAGACGTGACCAGCCAGAAGTTTAAACCCAACGAGTTTGTCGTTGGTAAACACTCTTCTGATAGCTTGCTTCGTTTAGCAGCGTCTGGTCGTCTTTCCTTAAACTAAG